ATGATTATCCTAATTATATTTTAGATTTTTTATATTTAAAATAAGATGTTTATCCTGTATTTGATTGTGTTTATCTGCAGTTAGTTACACGAATTCAGTTATGGGATGAAATCGGATAGGGATGAAATCGTTTAGGGATGAGTGGGTTTAAGAGATTAAGAGTTTAAGAGTTTTCAAGAGTTTTAGCCAAATGCATTATAATATAGTATAGATATATATATATATATATATATATGCTTACAATTAAAAATATATATTGTTACCTGAAACGATCATGAAAAAGTTAAACAACGAATAACACCATGCTTCAATCTTCATCTCCAAAAATTGTTTATAGACCCTGAATGCATTTAAATCATCCACCATAAACAAGATCAGAATGAATATATATATATAAATATATATAAAATATGTAGAATTATGAAAAAAATTACGTGTTAAAATAAATATGTCGTGGAAGATAGCGTGATAGGTTGATGGAAGAAGATTATCCCTTTATATATCGTAGGCGTATACACAATTTCAAAGAGTTAAGAAATAAATAATGAATAAATACCATATTTGATGATGAAGAGTAATAACAAATATCGCATTCTTATTACATTTAATTAATTAATTTTCTATAAATTAAACCAAACCTTTTGATTTAATTAATTAATTGTTTTATCATCAAAACATCCAAATCCATCTTCTTCTTGCCTTCTTTTCAACATTTTCTTCTCTAAAAGTTCATAACAACATGATTTTGTAACCACAAGTCTTAACTTCAAAATTTATTTTTCAAAACAATGATACTTTAAACATTGTGGTTTAAATAAAATATGTCTTAACGAATAAAATGATAAATTGCATAAAAGAATGTAAAATACTTTTGTTCGGTTCATATTATAAGACAAAAATTGAATGTTATAGTTTGAAAAAAAATTTACTTCAGAAAATATATTTCTAAAAGCATGCCAAGTTTTACCTATGTAATATAAGAAGACATTTGGTTTGAAATATTCTGACGGAATCTGAAAGAACTGGAATTGTCAATTGTATTGACTAAATTCCAATTAGGTGTTCTGTTTACATATGGAATGTAATTGAATTCCACGTATTCCACCAACTATGTGTTGTTTATCATCGACACTTTCTACATAAAGCAGAAAGATGATATCTTGAGCAATTACATATTCAGTGTTGCTTGTACAAAGGAACACCTCACAAGTTTGGTTTAGGTAGAGATTAATTCTCAATACATTCAATTAGAAGGGACAATGAATTGAATTTTTCATTCATCATGATATATATATATATATATATGTATAATATATGTATATATAATATATAATAAGAGTGAGGTCTAAAAAAACCCCCAGAAAATAAAAATAAATAAGAAAACACCTTAATAACAATTTATCTAGACAGTATGTATATGTACATACAATTAATTGAAATTGTTTTTTTGGTTTTTATGCCTGGGTTTATGTTATGCACATGTGCATACCAAACAAATTGTTTAGAAATTATTTGTATGCACACATATGCTTACTGTCAAATAAACAGTTACAAGAGTGTTCCCGGATTTTATTTTTTCGACTTGAATATAACATATATATATATATATATTATATGAATATATATACATTAATATGTTATACAATATATATATATATATATATATTATACATACAATATATTAATATATTTTATATATAATATGATTATTATATATATATATACGTACATTATGTAATATTAAATATATAATATAGGGAAATAATCAAGAGGGAATATCATGTATATTATATATGATATATGTACATATAGTACTATATAGAGAGTGGGAGAGAGAGAGAATTTGGTTCATGTGTTTATAAACTATACAAGTATTTATCAGAAAAATGTTCATGATGTGCTCACCATTCATATTCTATTTTATGTGTACGCTTATGTTATAAAGAGAGGATAGTAGAGAGAGAAAAAAATATATGAGAGAGACTAGGGGACAAAAGTTTTTTATTTGTATTATAATTTTTTTCAACTAATTTTTTATGGTTTAATTAGATATCACGAATCTCACAAATTAGCAAAGTCTTAAAATAATGCCCCCTATGTATATAGACCGAAGGATCGTGTGAGAAAAATTGTTAAGGTGAGAAGGGAACTGATCTGGTATATCACGGTGCATCTCATTAGTGTTGAGCTTCAGTTATGATTGATCCAAATGTGAAGATTCTTCTTACCTTTATCACCATAGCTTCTATTCTTACTGGAACCCAATCCTATATATATCAAGGTTCTAAATAGCGTAAGGCGTGTCGCGGTTAGAAGGTGAAGCCTCAAGCCTTCGAAGCCACGTCAAGGTGACGATGTTTTCAAGGGTCACTTATGGCGGCAAATTTGTATATCATATATAAAATTATATACATAAACATATATTTTCTAGTATGACTCAATAAATCGATGATACTAAGCAATTTAAATTAAGTTATATATTAAAAACTAACAAATAAGACATTATAAAGATAAATAAAATCAAATACCGTGTTAAAAAAACTGTGCATTACGCCGTGGCGTGCCTCAGGCATAACGTGTCGTGAGACATAAGTCTTGAACCACGACGCGCCATGACGGTTGTTGTGACGAGCTTTTTCGAACATTGATATATATATGGTCGGGTTCACGTGGGACTAGCCTGCTTTCGTGAGTCCATGAGACCATTTTTTTTCACTTGAAATTTCACAGTAAAACGCTGTGAAGGTAAAAAATTTGAACCTTCACCATAAAAACATTGTGAAGGTTACCTTCACAGTATTTTGCTGCGAAGTTTCAAGTGTAAAAAAGCGGTCTCATGGATTTTACGAGAACAGGTTGGTCTCACGTGATCCCAAGTCTCTCTATATCTCTCTCTCTCTCTCTCTCTCTCTCTCTCTCTCTCTCTCTCTATATATATATATATATATATAGGAGCAATCAAATGCAAACCACCCTCATCCGTCGATTTCATTGTTTAACCTTATGGAGTTTTAAATTGAAATTGTTTCATATAGTAATTTTTTTGATGAAGTTGTTTCATATATGGTTATGAAATTGTTTCATGTAATACTTAATGAAATTGTTTCATCTATTTCTAAAAATTAAAATAATGAAGATGATAATATATCCATGATTAATACCCTCCACAATAAAAATGATTAATCAACCTCTTATAATTACAAAAAATGAACAAAATGAAAAATTATGATTGGTTGAATGAGGTTAATTTGCATCGTTTGTACAAATTGGGTGGTTTGCATTTGATCGCTCCTATATATATATATATATGTATGTATATATATATATGTATGTATGTATATATATATATATATGTATATAAATGTATGTATGTATGTGTGTATGTGTGTGTGTTCGAAAAAGCTCGTCACAACAACCGTCATGGGCTAATGGCGCATCGTGGTTCAAGACTTATGTCTCATGCCACGTTATGCCTGAGGCACGCCATGGCGTAACGCACAGTTTTTTTAATATTTAGTTTTTATTATGTCTCTATCAGTATAATACGATTTTATGTGGTTTTGAGAAAGCGATAATGTTTTTATTTTTGAATGAAATATAAATTTGAAGGTAGCATAAAAATATGAAAAAAATAAATCGATATTAGTATCAAATTAACTATCTAATAGTTCTCATTTTTTTGGGGTAACTTCTTTAATTCAATTTTTTATTAGTGTTTTTTTTTCACCCAAGAAAAGAGACTCACATAAAACCTTTCTTGTCCTTCTTATTTATTTTTTCCACATCCCAATGAGATAATAGACAATTATCTCATAATACTATTTTAAAATAATAAGGCGATGAGAATTAAAACATTTTAAAGCATATTAAACCCCTTTACTTACCATCTCCTTTCAAAATAACCCCAAACTTTTATATCCGAATACTCGATTATCACATTCTTTTTGTTTTATTTTGGGTCCTGGATCATTATCCCACTAGTTTTGGATCGGGTCGATTAAAATTTGTATTTCCATAATATAATCTATTCAATTGATTTGTCCTTTTAATTATATTATTTAATTTGGCCAAATGTTTATTTATTTTTAATATGAATAATAAATGGTTTGCCCCCGAAAAGGCTTTTGGTTTAGTTTTACCAATATCTAATTTGGCATTAGAGTTTGCTTCGACTGCAGCTAAAAGGGGCATTGGAAAAGAAACTGTCCAGTCCTACAAGCAGAGCAAAAAAGTAGAAGGTTGCTACCGTCGGAGCTTCTGGTATATTTACTATTGATCTGCTCTCTTTTGATTACGACTCTTGGGCATTAGATACTGAGGGTGGTATTCATATTTTACTAACATACAGGGTCTTAGAAGTGAAGATAATATGAAACCAGACCAATTGGAAATAAGGATGGGCAATGGATCTAAGGTAGCTGTTATTTCTCACGACACATATGATATGAAGTTGTCAAATGGACTTACTTTAGCACTTAGCAAGTGTTTATATACACCAATTAGTACTAGAAATACAGTTTCATTTTCACAATTACAGCAAATTGGATTTATATTTATTTTTAGTGATAATACAATTTATGTTTATCTTATCAATAGCTAAACCATACAAATGGTATTTTTGAAATTGATATGCAAAATAACTGTAATTACGAATCAATATACAATGTAAAGAATATATGAATTTAACAGGGCTTAAATCAGATTTACTTGTGACATTGTCGTCTTGAACATATAAACAAGAAACGCATAGCCAAACTCCAGGAGGACGGAGTGTTGGAATCATGTGATGATTCATATGATACATGTGATGTTTATTAGGAAAGATGGCAAATGCGGCTTTTAAAGGCAAACCCAAAATGGATATAGAACTGTTACGAGTCATTGATACTGATGTATGTAGGTCTTTCAGTTCCATCACAAGAAATGGTCATTGCTACTTCATAACCTTTATTGATAGAAATGGGTAAGTTTACCTAATAAAAGACAAATGTGAAAGCTTTGAGATATTCAAAGAGTTTTAAAATGAAGTGAATAATCAACTTGGAAAAAATATAAAAGCACTTTAACTGGATCGATGTCGCGAATATCTAAGCCAAGAGTTTATTGATCGTCTTAGAGATTATGTGATTCTATCCCAACTAACTCCATCATGAACACCACAACACAATGATGTTTTTAGAAGGAGAAATAGAACCTTGTTGGACATGGTCCACTCTATGATGAGTCATACCACTCTGTCTAAAAGTTTATAGGAATATGTCTTAGAAACAGCTGCCGAAATACTAAACAATACATCAACCAAGAGTAAACATTTAGGGAGAATGTAAGTTAGTATATGCCCATGACATGTATCACACAAAAATGCTGCCAACAAATATGTAAACCTTTAGGGTCACACCTAAAGAACACATTTGCTTATACTTATAAGAAACTTGTATTTAAAATAATTATGATTGTTAAATAATTGATCTTGAAGAATAATTGTGAGATATGTGTCAAGATACAATTACAACAATTATAGGGTATAATCTGTAAACATGGAAATATAATTATGTTAATGTTTTAAAATAATTATAAATAAATATTTCAGATAATCACCAAACCTTATTTGAGTTATGAGCTATCGATCAGACGACTCATATAAATAAGGTGATAGGTTGGATCAATTTTAGGTGGTTCAATCTAATTAGAGATTCAGCCATCAGATAAAATAAAGAAAAAGAAACATTTTTGCATGTAATACACATATGGATCTAAGGTTCTTGGGCTAGCACCCGGTGGGAGATTTAAGCGTGTCCGTGTGTGGATCATCTCTAGAGGAAACTTGCTTGGTTTTTCTGTGTTCAACCAAAACCAACTCCCAATCTATAAAAAGGTATGTATTTTAAACACCCTATGGTTTGTTAAGAATCGATTAAAAGCATCATTGGATCTGTTTTTGTTTTAATTTCCCGCTGCGTTTTACAGTTACAAATTAATTCAAAATCCTACAGGCCTATTACCCCAAACTCGTTCATTTTCATACCTGACCAAATTCGAGGGAAAGGAAATTTTATCCTGCTTAGTCCATCTCTTGATGTTAAATGAAACATATGTTCTATTTTCACGTTTGATGAAACATATTTTATATTTTCAAGTTGGACGAAGTAGATTTGTAATAAAAATATTATATAAAACAAATTTGTCTTTGATTATATTAGTTTAACCAGATAACATCAGCACGGTGATTATCAGTGTTTACATTCTCTGCATTATCATTCTCATTTTAATTTTCATTCTCATTCCTTAAAATGAATTAAAACACCCGCTTAATCAGCTGCGAAGGTAACGGATTTAAGTTTACAGAGTTCATCTATTATTAGATTTATATTTTGAAGAATATATTTTAAAATATTTAATATTTTGAAAATTGATTATTTTAGCACTATGGTTAATAAGACATTTAGGGGTCGTTTACCAAACACTTACCCGGTAAAAGCTTACCGGTAAATTTAACACTATCATTTACTTATCGGATATGATTTTACTCCACCAAAACGGTATCGTATGCAACAATTTACCCGGTATGTGCTTACCGTGGTAAGAGTCATCGTCTTCACTTACCAGGTAAGACTCTTGGTTCTTGTCTCGTTATTACCGGATAAGATTCTGGATCCTTATCATATTCATCTGGTAAGATAAAATGACTTGGTGTTTACTTACCCGAGTAAGCGTTTGGTAAACGGCCCCTAAAGGGGTTTGATTCACATAATCATTTTTTATGGAATAAAAATGATAAAAATATGCTTAAGGTGTGTTTGGTCTGATCGAATAGTTTCGAGAGATTTGGATTTCATAAGAGAATTTGGAATTCCAGAGGTTTGGATTTGAAATGATTTGGAATCTTTGTATATTTGGTTTGTAAGATTTGAAATGAAATTAAATTCCATTTTCTTATAAAAACAAATTATAAATAATTTTAAAGATAATCAAATTATCTTTCTATTAATTGATTATTATAAAACAATGTTTTCAACAAATTTAAAACATTATTACACACAAATCTTACGAAATCCATGAAATACCAACGACCTTCATGAGATTTTTGAATCCCATGTTTGTGGGATTTCAATGAAATCCCGAGATTTCATATCAAACAATTCTTCAAACAAAACATGAGATATAAATGAAAATGAATTTTCAAATCCCTGCAAATCATATTCAACTTTACAAATCAGATGGGATCCTTTTATTATTTTTTTCTTAGATTATAAATTTAATAATAAAATTAACGTTTAATGTGGAAAAAAATATGTAAATTACTTTTTATCAAATCAAGAGTAAATAATGTGTTATATATATATATATATATATATATATATATATATATTTGTGTGTGTTTTTGAAAAAGATTGTGGCAACAACCGTCATGGTGCGTCGTGATTCAAGACTTATGTCTCACGCCACATTATGTTTGAGGCACACTACAGCGTAATGCGCGGTTTATGTAATATGATATTTGATTTTACTTATCTCTATAATGTCTTATTTGTTAGTTTTTAATATATAATTTAATTTAAATTGCTTAGTATCATTGATTTATTGAGTCATAGTAGAAAATATATGTTTATGTATATAATTTTATATATGATATACAAAATTATATACAAATTTGTCATCATAAGTCACTCTTGAAAGACGTTGTCACCTCGACGTGGCTTCCAAGGCTCGAGGCTTCACCTCCTCGCCGCGACACGCCTTACACTATTTAGAACCATGATATATATAGAGTTGGGTTCCAGTGAAAAATGAAGTTATGGTGATAAAGGTAAGAAGGGATCTTCATATTTGGATCAATCATAATTGAAGATCAACAGTAATGAGATGCATTATGATACATCAGATTAGTTTCCCTTCTAAAGTGCAGTTCATGGGTGGGCATGCGATTAAAAGTTATCAAGGGTGGAGATCCCTTCTTACGCTTCTCACCTTAACAATTTTTCTCACACGATCTTTCATCTATATATATATAGGGGGCATTCTTTTAAAAATTTGTTAATTTGTGAGATCCGTGAGATCCAATTAAACCATAAAAAATTAGTTGAAAAAAAATAATACAAATTAAAAACTTCTCTCTTTCTCTCCTCTCTCCTGTTTTTTCTCTATCTTTCGCATCGTCTCTCTCCGCTATTCTCTCTTTATAACATAAGCGTACACATAAAATAGAATATGAATGATGAACATATTGTGAATATTTTTTTTATATAAATACTATTATAGTTTATAAACACATTGTGAACCACATGCTATATATATATATATATATATATATATATATATATATATATATATAGAGAGAGAGAGAGAGAGAGAGAAAAGGGGGGGTGATGAAATACAAATCACTCCCTTTTCTACAAACTGTACAAATTAGCATCAATCAATAACATAATTTCATTTAATTTTTTTTATTTTTAATTCATAAGGGTATGATTGTTCTTTGACTTTATAATAGATATTTTTAGTAGTATCTTAATTGTGTCTAAATCGGGAAGATCATATAGATTAGATGTTTTTTAGGAAATGATCAATCAATCTGTTTTTATAATAATCTTGAAACCTGTAAATTTTTAATAGATACTTACTAACATCAATGAAACAAGGTAATTTCCAATGAAACAGACTCAAACTTTTCAATGAAACAGGGTCATATATGATTGCATCAGGTTCATATGTATAAAAGTTGTAATGAAACAGGTTTATATTCATAGGTATGTATAAAAATTTGTAATGAAACAGGTTCATATGTATAACAACTGTAATGAAATAGGTTCATAGGTCATATATGATTGCAACATGTCCATATATATAACAGTTGTAATAAAACAGGTTCATAGAACATGTTTTTCTTCCTGTTTTGCCCTTCTTTTTCTCCAATATAAATTCTTTTTTTTTTCTTTACTTATTTAGTTTGTTTCAATCTTGACTTTTAATAATAATAAAAAATGGATGGATATAACTTATTTGTAAGGTTTGTATGAAATGGATGGTTTGCAAAGTAAACCTCCTATATAATATACATGAGATTCCCTCTGGAATATTCCCTATATTATATATTTGATATTACATGTACATATATATATATATGTATAATATTATATATGAAATATTATTAATATATTACACGTATAATATATATATATATATATATTATATGTATAATATGATATATATATATATATATTATATGAAACCCATAAAAAATGAAAAATCGAGAATACTCTTGTAACCATTCATTTGACATTAAACATTTATAAATAATTTTTAATCAATTTGTTATGTTATGAACCATATGCATAAAAACCAAAAAACAACTTCAATTAATTGTGTGTATATGTGCATACTGTCTGAATGAATGGTTATTAGGGTGTTCCTTAGTTTTTTCATTTTTTAGGGTTTCTCTAAACCTCACTCTTATTACATATTATATATGCATATATTACACACACACACACACACACATATATATATATTACGAATGAAATTCAATTCATTGTCCCTTGTGATTGAATGCATTGAGAATTAATCTCTACCGAAATTGAACTTGGGAGGTGTTCCTTTATACGAGCGGCACTGAATATGTAATTGCTCAAGATATCATCTTTCCGCTTTATGTAAAAAGTGTCGATGATAAACAACACATAGTTGGTGGAATACGTGAAATTCAGTTGCATTCCATATGTAAACAAAACACCTGATTGGAATTTGGTCAATACAATTGACAATTCCGGTTCTTTCAGATACCGTCAGAATATTTCAAACCAAACGTCCTCTTACTACATAGGTAAATCATGATATGCTTTTACAAATACGTTTTCTGAAATAATATTTTTGTCAAACTATAAC